TCAGCATCTGGTAGTCTCGCGTTGTCAAACGACAGTTTAGCTGGAAAAAAAAAACATTCGTCTGATGTTAGCATTTAGCAGTTTTGTTTTTATTGCGGGAAGACAACCGTGGGATGTTAGCATTTACAACAGTAGTGTGAAATTAGCATTTAAATATATTCTGTTTTTGAAGAACAGCGTTTAAAACCATTTTCTGAACAGTAGTATGATAGCATCGAGTGCTATTTTGCCGCTGAACATATCGAGTGTAACGTGAGCATTTAGAGCAGTGGTGTAAAGTTCGCACTTAGCATTGTTTGGTGACCTCATGACGCTAGCGACTAGCCCTAAATTGTTTTTGAACAATGGTTTTGTTGCTGAGTCTTTCTTTAATTCACGGTTGCAGTTTCTGCTGTGAGGCTGCGGGAACGTAATGTAACACGCCATGTCGAAATTCTGCAGCGTGTGTGTGCGCGCGAGGGGCGTGGCCATGAATGACTGTGTGGATTTGCACAATTGATCGCAAACTCCAGCGATCCAGTGAGTGTTTGATTGGAATTCTGAGTGTGTGTTGGTGCGCATGTTGCGATGCGTGTCAGCCTCCTTTGAGCTCATCCTGCTTTTTTTTTTTTTTTTCTTGAGAGAAAAAGATGAGATGAGATTAGGGATTTGGTTCGCTGAGAAGCGTCAGATTGAATCGACACGCCGCGTTTAGGGGGGGATGTGCGTGTGCGCGTCTCCACGCCTCTGGTCTTTATTCCTTGCAATTCACATGCAAAGCAAACCTCAAAACAGACACAGACAAACACAAGTGACACTCATATACACGTGCACTCGAGCACACACTTGGGCGCAGTCATAAAAACAACAAATGCAAAAATCATTTTCACCCCAAATAAAGAATAGTGCAACAAATCAACAAACGCTACATATGTTATCTGATATTTTCTTATCAAGTTAACCCTTCAATAACTTTAAGAATCAACATGAACAGCAACTTTGAGGTTATCATGTTTGACTTTTTTCTGTGCCTGAACAGCAGTAGCTTGACGTTAAGCACGCCGCATATTTTTCAGCAAAGGTAGCACTGTTTTGAATTGTATTTTTTCTTGTTGTTGAAATTCATTAGCGTAGCGCCAATAGTTGCGAAGTGGCTTCAAAATGAACGACTCGACTGTTTCAGTCTAGAACAAATGTGATGTGTCTTGGTATCATGTGCGTGTTACCGGCCCACGCCGTGTCCAAATGTCTGCCCTAATATGGACGACCATGCGGCGGAACAGATATTCCAAAACTATAAAAAAGACTTGTACAAATTATTCTGCTAGTTATTTCCACTTAAAGCAGCTCTGGAAGTGCATGCATGTGAAGGAACGGCACGTCGCCTGACGCGCCGTGTGACGTCGCCGTGTCATTACAAATTTTGATGGCGTGTCCCATCTTTGTCGCCCGACATGTTTTTCCATGTTGCGGTTTTAATTGGGCACAAAGGTTCCCCTGTCGTCGGCTAGATAAAAGCAACTGAAGGTTACTCTGCAGGCAAGTCCGCCGAATACTGTCGCCATTTCTGAACGGATTCCGGATCTTTCAAACTGGCGAAATATTTGTCTGGACGTCACGACCAAAATATTGCATCCACAAAAGTGAGAAACGCAAAGATCGCATGGCACTGCTCACTTGGCAGACTCCAGGGGCGAAGTCATTCATGTCCCGAACTCCAAGATAGGATTAAAATCACCTTTTTTCCTTTGCGACTGTTGTT